CCCCCCCCGCTGCTGCCCCAGGCCCTGACCCAAAGTGGGGGACACTACCCTCCTAGGGGCAGAGCCCACATGCTAAGGGACCTTTAGAGATCATTTCTCCGACCCTCCCATCTCATAGATGAAGAAACTGAGGCTCGGAAAAGGGCACGTACTGGCTCAGCATCATGCTGCAATTGAGGGGCAGTGAGAACTCAAACCTTGAGGCTCTTGACTCCCAGGGCCCTGGGGTCTCTGGTCTGGGCTTGGAATTCCCTTCCCTCCCAAACAGAAGGATTAGGACTAAGTCACTGAGGAGCTGATAGGGAACTCTTGTTAAAGTGTCCCTTATCAGGCTTTATCTTAATAATGGTCCTTAAGGCCACTTGGGATTTGAAGAGAGCTCCGGAAGTAGGTGGGAGTGGAGGCCTCTGGTGGCATGGGAAGAACAGGATTTTGCAGCCAGTCAGAGCTGGGTTCACACACCCTGAGTCTGCCAGTTACTAGCTGTGTGACCTTAGGTAAGTCACTGACCCTGAGGGAGTGCCTCTGTATGGCAAGGGGGATTTAGTGAGATCATGTGTGTCTCAATCAGTTGGTACTATCAATACATGTGAGTTTATTATCCTGTTACCAGTAGAAAGGCAGAGGGGCCTGAGAGAGACCTTTACCCACCCCTACACCCTGGAGAGGCAGAAGCTCCCTTGAGGACCACACTTTGTGCTTACACTTGGTTGTGTGGCTTTGGCTTTCCCAGCTACTCCATCAGGTAGGTGTTGGTCCTTTACAGATGAGATTGAGGCCCAGAGAGGCTGATTCATTTGTCCAAGGCCTCTAATCCAGGCTTCCTGATTCCCAGGCTTTTCCCCTCTTGACTTCATCGTGGCTGCCTCTCCGCCATATATAAGGTAGGGATAATTGTGCCTTGAAGGAACAAAGGAAAGGGTTTTTGGAAATTGAGACTCGCACCCTGGCCCAGAGAGATTATTATGTCATTGTCAGGAGCAGATACTGACCCGGAAACTCATTATGACATTTATTAATATTATTGTAGCTAATTCCTCCCTGCACTACTGCTGGTTCCTGCAGCCGCCTGAGGCATGGGATCCTCCTCTCCTTGTTGGGGCACTCCCTGCCCCCCCATATTTACCTTAAAACCGGCCTGTCAGCTCTGCAGCTCTGCTCTAGGGCGGGGCTTCCCACTGAGGGGAGGTAGGAGGGGGATTTCCCTTCTGCAGAAGTGGGGTGCAGAGCTCCCCCTCTTTGGGCAGGGACTGAGGCTGCATGCAGCCCCCCTGATCCCTTAACTTCCTCGGACTTAGGACCATTGCAGTGTTTGGAGTGAGACCCAAGTTCCATTGTGGGCTCAGCCACTTCCTGGTTGAGTGACCTTGAGCAAGTCACTTTCCCTGGAGCCTCCTTGTGCTCTTTGTGAAAAGGGAAGTCAGACATACCTTTCAGGTTTTTTGTTGGGTGTTCTGTGAGACTGAAGAGAAAGAGAAACTTCCACGTGAAGGTTTTTGTTATACTCATTTCCCTTTGTCTTGGAGAATAAAATCTCCATACGTTCTGGGTTCTGCTCCTATTGGAAGGCCCTGGGTTGTTCACCAGTACAGAGGGGCTTAGGACCTCTGAACACCCTGAATCCTGGCTCCCGGGCCTGGCCAGTGGTCAAATGTGGTGGGGGAGCGGGGTCAGGCCCAGGCCTGGAGGGCTCCAGCTCCTGAGTAAGGCCACCTGGGCAGCTGTTCCCTCCCCCCGTCATTCCTCTCCCCTGAGTCAGGCCTGCCTGGCTGTGGGCGCGCCACCACCCCCGCCCCTTGCTCTGGAATGGGGCAGGTTGAGGCCTCACCCCATGGAGGATGTTGCCAAGACAGTGTGTACGCATGCGCACAAATGTGCCCTTGGCCTTGGGGGTTGGGGGCTCCCTCCCCCTTTCTTCCCTGTCCCCAAGCTCAGGAAAGCCCCACAGTGGTGGGTACATGCACCTGCCTTTGTGTACACACAGCCACCTGGCTGGGCCCTGCGTGAGTCTGCGGTCCTGCTCCTGTGTGAGGACACGGACTAGGGTGGCCTGGGTGTGCTTTGTGGACGTGGTCCTGCGAGCACCCACCTGTGTGTGGGGGGGCCCAGTGGGACATTTTGGAGGTGCAGACGCACATACTTCTGCTGGTTGGACTATATCTGAGCTCACAAACTTGCATGTGTGCTTCCTGGTGTGCCCTTCATGTTAGGGGGTGTGGCCGAGAGCAAGGTGTCTTCTCTGATCCAGGAAGCTTCCTTCCTCCGGCAGGTGGGGGAGGAGGGGAGGTGGAGGCTGCAGGCTGAGCCAGGAGCTTCAGCCCCAGGCTGCACCTCTGGACTGTGCCAGGGCAGAAGACTCTAAATACAGCCTTGGGCAAGGTCCTTCCACTCTCTGGGCCCCAGTTTCTTTGTGAGGTCCCTGCCCTCCACTGGAGACTCTGGTTGCTGAGCTCCACCCTAAGCAAGTCACAGGTGTGTGGACCCGAGCCTTGCCTTGCCTTGCGAGGCTCAGAGAGGCCTCAGGCTCTGGCCAAGCTGTGGGTGTGGGGGGAGGGGTGTTGCTGGAGCAACCAGATGTTATCAAGTGTGAGAGCCTTGGATCCTCTGGGACTTTGCAGCTGTGGCCCTGACTGCCAGCTTGGGCCTGAGACCTTGAGCTGATGTTCCCCCATGCCCTGAGTGGAGCTCAGCCCTGAGTTTCCTTGGTTAGCGGGTAGCTGAGGATGACTGTGTCCTGTGTGGGTAAAGCCTTCAGTTTTGGAGCCAGCCAGGGCTTGGGAAGTCACCTAGCTCTCGGAGCCTCACAGGTCCATGATCAACAATGGGAGAGAATCCTCGAGAACCTGCCTCCAAGGGCTATTGTAAGATCCAGGAGGGCAGAGACTGCCTTCCCCCAGCACCTGGCATTAATCACCCTACAAGTATGAGGCCTATTGCTCTTTTCAGTCTGAGCGGGACTAATAAGGGGGCAGGTGAGTCTGGCCTCAGAGAGGGAAGAGGAGAGGCTGTGGCCAAGAAACTTTGCATTTCTGGGGATGAGAGGGTCCCTCAGCCCTTGTTCAGAGGGGAGATAGGGTTTGTAGCTGGCATGGCAGACAGAGCATAACTTTTGGATTCCAGTTGTCCTGAGTGCAAATACCACCTTGCCCTTTCCCAGCTTGCCCCTTCTAGCCTCCATTTCGTCATCTGTAAAATGGGGACAAAAGGGCCTATTTCCAGGATGCCTGGGTGGCACAGTCGGTTAAGTGTCCAACTCTTGATTTCCGCTCAGGTCATGATCTCGAGGTCGTGAGGTCCTGAGGTCAAGCCCCGCATCGGGCTCCACACTGGGCTCAGAGCCTGCCCAAGATTCTCTGTCCCACTCCCTCTGCCCCTTCCCAACTATGACAGCATTTTTTCTGTCTCTCAAAAAAAAAGTGCCCACTTCTTAGGATTGTTGTTTAGATTGAAGTGATTTGTGGATTTACATACTATCCAGCTGCATAAAAGTTTGTTTTCTAGAGAGCAAGGGCTCATCCTCTGAGTGGTCTGAGAGGTGGGGCAGCGAATGGGAAAGGGGCTGCAGAGGGGTCTTGCAGCATGAGAGCCACTGTGAATTCTTAGATCCTTAGGGGCTCAGAGAGAAAGGTGTGGTGAGAGAGGAGTGTCCTGAGGTTAAGTTTGGGGGACAGCACTTCACAGACTTTCTCTTCCACCTTCTCAGCTACTCTTTTTGGAGTTGCCCAGGGGATCTCTTAACACTGTTCCTACCCAGTTTAACCTTCATTGTTGACCTCCTGGGGCTCTTTGAATAAAAGCCAGACTCTGCCATGGCCTACCGGGCCCCACCTTGACCTGGCTCCTGTCATTCTCTCCCTTGCTCACCGTATTTCAGCCCCACTGGCCTCCTTTCTATTCTGGGAGACACCCCCCCCCCCCCCCCCCCCCCCCAACTCCTGCCTCAAGGCTGACACTTGCTCTTCTGTCCCTAGGGCTCTGTGCCCAGCACTTGCCCTGGCGGGCTCCTCCTCCTTCAAGTCTTGGTTCCAATGTCCTTTCCTTAGAGAGACTTTCCTTGATGCCTCTTATAGGCACCCCCTTCTCTATCATAGCTTCCCAGTCTTCACTAATCTAAAATTATATTGTTAGTCTACCTCATTCATGTATTCATCAAATGTTTATTGAACTCACAGTATGTGACAGGCACTGATTTAGATGCTAGGGATGTACTGGTGACCAAGACAAAGTTCTCCATTTGCTATAGCTCTCAATACTAGCTCGATAAATACTGCTGATTGAATGAATGGGTACAACTGTCTTATAAAGAGGACTTATTGGCCTTGTTTCCATTTGAGGTCATGACTTGTGTGTGATGGAGCTGGATTTGAACTTGAGCCCGACTTCCCTCCAGTTCCCTCCTCCCACCTTCCACTTTTACTGCCCTCAGCTGTGAGCTGGTTTCTTGGCTAGTTCTGTTCTCCCTACCTGGTGATTCATCAGAGTCACCAAGTCACAGAGTGAGGGCAGTGGGAAGGATCCTGGGCTGGAAGAGCAGGAGGGGGGACGATGAAGCCTACCTCTGCTGTGTGACCTTGGATAGTTCATAGTGCTTCTCTGGGCTGCTTCCACCTGACCAAAGTGGGAAGAAAGTCCCGAACATACACAGGAGGAGTCGTTCCCACCGGCCACTGTGTTTCTGCTCTGGGCATCTCCCTGGCTTCCTAGTACTGTGTCCTGGGCTGTGTCCCAGCGGCTTTCGCCAGTGAACTTGCCATCACAGGCAGTTCTGGGCTGCCTGGCTGCTCCACCTCTGAGTTCCTTCCCCAGGGAATTACCCTCACCAGCCAGGAGGACTTGGGGATCATGCCAAGTGTATTTTAGTGGCTCTTCCACCCACCATCTGGCAGCTGGGACCCCTGCCATAGCTCTGGCCCCTGATGGTTTAGTAAAGGACTTGGGGACGGGTTAATGGTCTGCTCCTGGGACTGAGTGTCTTCAGCCCTGCTAGTCATACTCTCCACCAGAGCCGAGCATCTGCAGACTCGGGGCCTCAGTTTCCCCGTGAGAATCTGGGATGGTTCTTGCTACTGCACTCCACTTGAGGGGCGGGGTCGGTGGGTGGGCGGGACCAGTGGCGCAGGTGGGAGGAGGACCTGGAGAGCAGCCCCTCCCCCTCCCCTGCCTGGCGCTGGCTCTGCAGCTGGGCGGGCGACTCGCACCACTCGGTGCTGGGTTACGGTGAAGGCGGCGCCCGGCGCTCCGGAGAGGTCGGAATAGGGGACGGCCCGAGTGGCGCCCGCAGTCATGGTGGTGTTCCTGGGCCGCCGCCTTCCGGTGCTCCTCGGGCTCTTTAAGAAGAAGGGTGAGTGGGTGTGGCTGGGGAGGGGGAAAAGAAGGACCCCGACACCTCTATTTGCCAGAGCCTTCTGTAAAAAGGGGATCAAAGCCGGGGAAGGCTAATGGGTGGGGGATGGGGGGCAGTAATGAGGCCAGACTACCCTGTCCTCCCCTGTGCCTTTGTCCAGCGGCTTTTCCGCTGCCTTTGTCTGGGCCCTGCTTGGGTTTGGGAGGATGGATCCAGATGTCTCTGACCTTGAAGCCTGCAGCTCTTGGGTGAGACTGCCTCCCTTCAGGGGTACCCACACTGTACTGGGTACATCCCAGTACTTCAGTTCTGAGAGGCAGGGCACCCTCTTCCAGGTCAATCAGCATGTGTGGAAGGATGGGATGTGGGGAGCAGAGAAGAGAGAAAAGTAGTGCCCCTGGAATTTGGGGCGTGATCATTGAAACGCTGTTTAGAGGCCAAGGTGGGGCCCCTAGAGAAGTTTTGGAGGGCGGGGTCTATGCCTGCTTACTGCTTCTCTAGGAACTGGGCTTTCAGGCCTGGATTAAGACATGGGGGCCATGGTTTATCGGACTTTCGCCGGGGGTGGTGGGGGGAGGGGGGAGGCGGGCAAGCAAATGTCCTTGGTTGGAGTGTGGTCCAGGTGTCCCCTCTGGGAACCTGGAGTTTAGTCTTGGCTCTGATTTGCTGGATGACCGTAGGCAAGGCCTTTCCATCGATCTTGTTTCCCCAACTTGTAAAATGCAGGGATTAGGTGAGACTCATTGGGATTGTTGGGAGACTTAGGAGCTCTGACCTTGTAGGGTTCCTGCAGGTTCCCTGGGCAGGAGCTGGCTGTTGAAGAGTGGGCCAGGGAAGAAGAAATGGGCAGGTGTCTGAGCTGAAGACCCTCATCCTGGGGCGTGGCCCTTTAAAGGGCTTGTTTTGTTCCTGCCCCTCTCTACAAGGTGCTGCCAAGGTCACATGACCCTCCCAGCGCTTTTGCTTATGTTGTGGGTTCCATTTAAAAGGGGGGCTGGGGCTGCAAAGTGCTGACACAGCCCCCTATTCCCAGGATTAGATGACCAGCTTCCCCATGGGCGGGGCCTGTAACAGGATCCTTTGTAATGGATCCCTGGCTCCTTTGCACCAGGGGTTGGGGCCTCCAGGAGAGGGGGATGCCTGGGACTGTTCTCCCAAGAGAGGCTGGAGCTGCCTTGTCTGGGGCTAGAGGGGCCCGGAGGAGGGCCTTCTCCCCTCCCCTTCTTTCCTCTAAGGGATAGCCACATGGGTGAGTAGGGGACATAAGAGGCCATGTCCCTTATTTGTCCCTCCTACCAGGACTTCCTGGGAATTCTGGTTGTGACCTCTGAAAGCCCACACCCTTTCCTAGTGTCCCACAGTGTCTTCCTGGGCCTGGGCCTGGGCCAAGGGGGTGTTTGAAAGGGGTGGTTTTTTTTTCTGTAAAGTAAAGCTCGGGGTGTGGAGACAAGACAATGTATTTGCTACGGGCTATGTGTATACAGGGTGCCTTACATCGGGCCCTGTGTGACATGTGGATACACAGTCGTGTATGTACTTGGGTATTGTTTGTATATGTACAGAATGGTAACTGTAGCTGTTGTGTATAGACCTAGGGGCTGGCTGTGTTCTCTGGGGGCCCCTGTGTTCGATGTTGGTTCCCAGATGTGTTTATACTGGGATGCTGTTTGTGTATGTCCTGAAGCCTGTGGGTGTTGTGTGCATATATGGTGGGCTTGTGTGCCCTGGGTATGGGGAACTTTGTGTGGTGTGGGTGCTCAGATGTGTACTCTTGGGTACAGTTTGCGTATGTGCATGGGGGCTGTGTGTATCGCGTGTATAACTCAGAACTGTGGGTTGTGTCTACAGATTGGGGGAAGCAGGCCTTGCATGTGTGTGCAGGGACCGTGTGCAGTCTTGGGACTGGGGGTGTGTTGTGGTGGAGCCTGTGCATCCCCAGGCCTCACTTCTCTTCCTCCTCCGTTCCGCTAGGCTCTGCCAAGGCTGAGAGTGACAAACGTCTAAGTGTGGGGTCCGGCCAGGGGCCAGGGTCTGTAGTGGATGAGCACCAGGACAATGTCTTCTTCCCCAGTGGGCGACCGCCTCACCTCGAAGAGCTGCACACGCAGGCCCAGGAGGGGCTCCGTTCCCTCCAGCACCAAGGTAGCCTTCACTTCCCCTCCAGTATCCCTCTTAGCTCTCCAAGGTCAGGGACCTAGCCCGACACACTTTTCTGGTGTCTTCCAGAAAAACAGAAACTGAATAAAGGTGGTTGGGACCATGGAGACACCCAGAGCATCCAGGTGAGCTCTGCCCCCAGCTCAGTCCTGACTCTGCTTTTCCCTTCCTGCTGAATCTCTGGCAAGTATGGTCTTTGAACCCTTTTGGATCTCAGTTTCCTTTTTGTATCACGAAGGGCTGGACTAGATGACCCCTCAGGGCTAGTCCAGCTGATAACCCGCTCAGTGCTAGGTGAAGCTGGGGAGAATCCAAGTCAAAAGTTCCAAAGGGAAGCCCTGAAGAGGCAACAGCAGAGGCCCACGTAGGCCTCTGGGATGTCTGAGGCCGGGGCCTGATCTCCTTCTTCCCTCAACAGTCCTCCCGGATGGGGCCAGATGAAGACAGCATCTCTTTCTGCAGCCAGACCACATCCTACACGGCTGAGAGCTCCACAGCAGAGGACGCTCTCTCCATCCGCTCAGAGATGATCCAGCGCAAAGGTGTCTGCTCACCAGCCAGGATTCCTGGCGGGGGAGGGGGCAGTGGGCGCTACCTCGGTCCCAGCACCTGCTCCTTGCCCCATTTCTTCTTCATCTGGCATTTCCCAAGGCTCTGTGAGTCAGTGAATCCAGGAAACACAGTATCCTGCGTTTTTCTTGGAGACTCACCATGCACATTAACTGCAAAGCAGGACAGTTAGGAGTCAGGAAACCTGGGTTTGAGCCTGGTGTTGCTGCTTCCCAGCTGTGTGACCTTGGGCCAACCCTTAACTACTCTGATCTTTGGTTTGATGTTCTATAGAAATGAGGTTAAGAGTACTTACATTATTGGAACGAGTGCCAAGTGTTCAGCATGCTAACACATAATAATTGTTCACTAAGTGGAAATTATCACCGGAAATTATCAGCCTTCTAGAAAAGAAGTGTTTAGCTTTGTTTAACCTAGCTTGGCCCACGCCTCCTTGATTATGGAAATCTTTTTTTGCAGAGCACTGATTAGTGATTCCACAGAAGTAGTGCTCTGCAAAATGTGTCCTGACACCTGCTCTAACGGTTTCTCTCCCCTGGACTGGCCCCCAGGGTCCACCTTCCGACCCCATGACTCATTTTCCAAATCGTCCGGGAAGTCGGGGCGGCGAAGGCGCGAGAGGCGGAGCACGGTGCTGGGACTGCCGCAGCACGTGCAGAAGGAACTCGGTGAGCCTGGCGGGGAGGAGGGCAGTGGTGGTGAGTCGGGAGCTCTGGCTGAACCCTCCGCTGACCCCCCGGTCCTCCCTGTCCTTCGCAGGTCTGCGGAACGAGCGTGAGGCACCAGGTACCCCTCGGCCTCCTGGTCCTCGGGATGCCGTCCGCATCCCCACGGTGGATGGCCGTCCAGCGGGCCCGGCTTCAGGGACAGGGGCCCGGGTGTCCCTGCAGGCGCTGGAGGCACGGGCCCAGGCCGGTGCCGAGGCCGAGGCCATGCTGCAGCGCCACATCGACCGCGTCTACCGGGATGACACCCTCGTTGGGCGGTCCACAGGAGCCCGGCCCCCGCCAGTGACCCGGCCCATGTCCTTAGCGGTACCCGGACTGACAGGAGGGGCAGGGCCTCCAGAACCCCTGAGCCCAGCCATGTCCATCTCGCCCCAGGCCACCTACTTGTCAAAACTGATTCCGCATGCTGTCTTGCCGCCCACGGTGGACGTGGTGGCCCTGGGCCGCTGCAGCCTGCGCACACTGAGCCGCTGCAGCCTGCTGTCGGCCAGCCCGGCCTCTGTCCGCTCGCTGGGCCGCTTCTCCTCGGCCTCCAGCCCGCGGCCCCGCAGCCGCCATCCTTCCTCCTCCAGTGACACCTGGAGCCACTCTCAGTCCTCCGAGACCATTGTGTCTGATGGCTCTACCCTCTCCTCTAAGGGTGGCTCTGAGGGTCAGCCCGAGGGCTCTCTGGCTAGCAGTAGCGCGGCCCCCCCTCCCCAGGTGGGCAGTGGGAGGGGCTCTCCCAGCGGGGGCAGCACCGCCGATGCCTCCGACACTGTCAGCGTTCGGAGCAGTGGGCAGCTGTCCGGCCGGAGCGTGTCCCTCCGTAAGCTGAAGAGGCCCCCCCCACCTCCCCGCCGGACCTACTCACTCCATCAGCGGGGCTCAGCAGCACCCGATGGGCCCTTGGGGTTGCCGCCCAGGCCTGAGCGGAAGCAGCAGCAACAGCTGCCTCGGCCACCCACCACTGGTGGGGCAGAAGGGACGGGGGCAGCTCCGTGTCCCTCCAACTCAGCAGGCACCTGGGTGCCTGGCTTGTCTCCAGGTGGCTCCCGGCGTCCCCCACGCTCCCCAGAACGGACGCTCTCACCCTCCAGTGGGTACTCGAGCCAAAGTGGTACTCCTACCCTCCCTCCTAAGGGTCTAACAGGGGCCCCTGCTTCCCCAGGCAAGGCCCAACCCCCTAAACCAGACCGTGTCACTTCCCTTCGTTCCCCTGGGGCCTCTGTCTCTTCTTCCCTCACATCTCTATGTTCCTCATCCTCTGACCCAGCCCCCTCAGACCGGTCTGGTACACAGATGTCGACTGCCCTGGGTGATAGGTTTGCCATACCTCCTCACCCCAAGGTGCCCGCCCCTTTCTCCCCACCCCCTTCCAAGTCCAAGAGTCCTAAACAAGCTGCCCCCGCTCCTGCCACTCCTGCTGTGGTCCCCGGGCCGGTCTCTACTGCTGATGTGAGTCCCGAGTCCCCACCAACTCCGCAGACCTCCCTGACCCCGCCACAGGAGTCACCCAGTGACCCCAAAGACCAGTCACCCCCACCGTCCCCACCTCCATCTTATCATCCTCCCCCCCCACCCACTAAGAAGCCTGAGGTCGTTGAGGCCCCGTCTGCCCCAGAGACTGCTGAGGAGCCCCTCCAAGACCCCAACTGGCCCCCACCCCCGCCTCCTGCACCGGAGGTGCAGGACCTTTCCATGGCTGACTTCCCCCCACCTGAGGAGGCCTTTTTCTCTGTGGCTGGCCCTGAGCCTGCAGGCCCTTCAGGCCCCCCAGAGCCTGTTAGATCCCTGGCTGCTTCATCCTTCTCAGTTGCTGTCTCTTCCCAGAGCCAGCTTCACGGTTCCCCAGACCCTCCTCCGGCTCCACCAGCCCCACCTCCAGCTGGTTCTGTCTCGGGGCTTTTGGCCAAGCTCCCACGGAAGGAACCGGTGGGCTGCAGCAAAGGCAGCGGGGTTCCCAGGGAGGATGCTGGCGCACCCCTGGTCACGCCCTCACTCCTGCAGATGGTTCGGCTGCGCTCTGTGGGCGCTCCTGCGGCTGCTGCAACCCCGGCCTCTGGGCCGTCAGCCCCCCAGAAGCCGCTACGAAGGGCCCTGTCAGGGCGGGCCAGCCCAGCGCCTGGCCCCTCCTCAGGGCTCCATGCTGCTGTCCAACTCAAGGCCTCCGGTCTGGCTGCCAGCAAGGACCCTGCGAGTGCCCAGCCCAATGGACCGCCTGAGGTGGAGCCACGGTCTCCCCAGTCCCCTGCCTCTATGGCCAGCTTCATATTCTCCAGGGGCACCAAGAAGCTGCAGCTGGAGAGGCCAGTGTCCCCTGAGGCCCAGGCTGACCTCCAGCGGAATCTGGTGGCCGAACTTCGGAACATCTCAGAGCAGTGGCCACCCCAAGCCCCAAAGAAGCCACCTAAAGCTCCCCCACCCGTGGCTCGCAAGCCCTCTGTGGGAGTCCCGCCATCCACCTCGCCCAGCTTTCCTCGGGCTGAGTCCCTTACTGCTCCTCCCGCCAACGGGCTCCATGCTGAAGACAGGACTAAGGGGGAGCTGGCAGAGAATGGAAGTGTCATGCAGCTGGTGGGCCTGGAGGAGCAGAAGCTGGGCCCACCTGGCTCAGGTACGGTGGATGGGGGTGGGGGTGGGTCCCCATCACTGGTGTTGGGAAGCAGGTGTCTGAAGTCCCACTACTGGGAATTTGTTACTGGATCTTTAAGATTTCCCTGGTCTCGGGCTGCCTGGGAAGGGTGAGCGATCACCGTTGATAAGCTAGTGAAGGAGCATGGTATGTTGGGCTTTGAAGTCAGACCTACTGAGTTTGAACTCCAACTTTGCCATTTTATCTACCCATCCTGGCCTTAAGTTCCTCACCATAAAGTGCAGGGCAATGATGCCTACATTAGCATGTCAGAGGTATTGTTTGTAAAACATCTAGCTGGTGCTGCTGGCGTCCGGTCAGTTGAGGAGGTGAGGATGTGCCTTGGGCTCTTAGTAGCCAGAACTAAGCCGAGAGGCCCCTTGCTGAATGTCCCTTCTTTTCCCCTGCCGCAGACCCACAGAACGAGCTGGTCTGACCGCCAGGCACCTCACTGGCACTGCTGACCCATCCCAGGAATACAATCTCAGGGACCTGAGCAGCTCCAAGGATGAGACGATACGGCAGACACTTAACCTAGTAGAGAGGATGCCTGCAGCCTTAACGTTCACAGCCTTCGATATTTATGCAAGCCTGGTGTTGATCCTGCCCTCCAAGTCATCCAGCTCATGCCTTTTCCTCCCTGGATGGATTCCCCTCTGGCAGCTGCTGCTTGTCTTGGCCTTAGCCTCATCTTGAAGGAGGTAGCTGGTGGGAGTGGGTGGCTGCGCCCCCTGCTGGCCCTGAGGCCACACGGTTGGGAGGAGAGCACCTCACATGAATTTTTCCTCCCCCCCCCCCCCAT